CATCATCATCATCACCACCACCACCATCACCATCACCATCATTGCCACCATCACCATCATCATCATCATCATCATCACCATCATCACCATCACCTCATTGCCACCATCACCATCATTGCCACCATCACCATCATCATCATCACCATCATCATCATCATCATCATCACCACCACCATCATCATCATCATCATTCTTGTTCCTCTTCTCCACCAGGTCCGGGAGAGTGACCCATCTCGCCTGGTATACATCGATAACGCTGGTAAACCTTTGCACCCAGAAACCAAACTGAACTTCAGGCTTCTCCAAGGCATAGATGGGTATGTTCAGGGATGTTGCTGGACATGTGCAATAGGACTAGGGCCATATGGGAGGGAGATCTCCACCCTCCATTACACTTACTAGCTGTGTGACCCCGGGCAAGTCCATCGACCACCCTGAGCCCGAGTTTTCCCACGGGGAAGGTGAGGATTGCAATGCCCCCTTCTGAGGGTAGCTGGGTGATAATATTTTGTAGACCTTAAAGAATGAAAGGATTACCAGTTCTTATGAGGCTCACACTGCCTGAAACTCTTCTTGCTTCCTCTCTGTCCTGGGGTCATTTCCTCCAGATTTCCTGAATCGGTGGTGAAGATAATCGCCTCGGGATGCTTAGCCAATATGCTGCTGAAGTCACTGCAGATGGACCCAGAGTTCTGGGACAGTCAAGGTGGGCACCAGGGCCTGACACCTTTGCTTCGCACCATCGAGAGGAGAGGACAGATCCTGCTGGAATACATCCGGGGGCACAACTTAACCCTCTTCAGGGAGGAGACCGACAGAGGGGACCAGGCACTACTCACCTGATTAGCACCTGATCTCATGGTGGAAAACCAGGGGGGGGGCCTACAGTCAGGGAGTCAGTGTCTTCAGGGCTCCCCACGTTGCAAGGTGCATTTTTCCATGGTGCAAATGAAATGTGTAGAAAACCGTTGCAATTTCCTGCCCTCTGCAGCACCTCCAGCTGCGGGGGACAGGCCAACTGCTGACTCATGGCTTTCGTGGGCGACTGTCCCCACTATCACCTTGGGGGTGGGGTCTTTGTCACTGCCCCAGCCATCTCTCCTGTCACCCCTGCAGGGACGAGCTTCTCCCCTCCTGACATTTGCAGGGGTGGCGTGTCCTTGGAGGGACAGCTTTTGACATCTTAGAGGAATTTATTTTCCACTCACAAGTCTTGACTTAACGCCCTCTTCATGCCAGGCAGGCACTGGGATAGGCACCGGAGGATGCAAGACATAAATCAGAATATTGCCTGCCCTCAAGGAGCTTCCATTCTATGTGAAAGCACAAAGGCTTTCTGACTCTCCCAGCCTGGATGCTGGTAGTTCAGGTCAAGCATTCTATGCAAATTTGTCTCGATGCTGTACAGGGTCAATCTCAGGTGTGTGAACAAAGGTGCTTGTCTGTCTGGAGGTCTGACTCTGCACGTGCGTCTGAGAATGTGCGTCAGGCTGAAGGGGGAGGGGAAACAATTCTCCTTGTGCCCCCCTCAGCTTGGAGACAGACTCAGGAGGGTTGTGGGGAGATGTGGAGCCCAGACTGCACAACTAAGAATTGCGAAGAATTTATTTTTAGAGCTGAATTTTTCAGTGTCTGCTCAGACGTGAAAGCTGCCCTTTTCTCAGTTGTAATTTTAAGCTGGTAAGGGGGACAACTTTCGAAGCTTTGGCCATTAGCACACTCATTTCTAGTGCCAGCTGCTTCATTTAGAGCCCCTGACTCCAAGGCAGCCCTAGAGGCGCTGAGCTGTGCCATCGCTTATGGGTAGAACTGGGTGGGCCTTAGAGCAGGGTTTTTTACCTTGGGATTCACATACCTCTTGGGGTGGGGGTGGGGAGGAATTCTATCTTTATTTTCACCAGTTTCTAACTGAAATTTAGTATTTCTTTTATTATTTAAGATTCTCAGGAGGGGTCCACAGGCTTCACCAGGATGCCCGAGGTGTCTGAGACACACAAAAGCTTAAGAACGTCTACCTTAGAGTGTATGCTCACAAAAAAACAATCCACACCCTGACAACAATCATGTGAATGAAGGCAGCATTAAAAATGAAACTAAAATTAAAAATAAAAAGTCAATAAAATTCTGTCCAATGCAACTGACGATGCTGGGATATCCTGTGAAAGCCAGAACTGGCTTCCTTTAACCAGCTGCTCAACCAGAGAAGGCTGGATCTGCAGCCCGTTGGGCCACTCTTGTAAACAGTGACTGTTTGGGGGAATGGGACACAGCACGTTGGGGGCCTGGGGTTTGTTAAGGCTCCTCTGTTCTGTTGAAGCAAGGTGAATCCAGAGTCTGGGTTCTCTTCCCTAGTGAGCTAGTCCCCACCCTCTTCCAAAAGGTGGCAACCTCACCTTTTCTGATGCTCACTGATGCTCTCTCGGTTTCTTTTCTTCTCTGATCCCTAAACCCCATTTATTCTGACCACTCTTTATTGGACCTACTAGGTCATTGACTTGGAGACCCCCTCCAACCCATGACATCCACTTTATTCAGTCTGACTTCCGACAGTCCCAACCATGAGGGCAGGAAGTTGGTCTCCTCTTCTGAGAGGCAGTGAGCAGGACACAGGTTGGAGCGAGAAAGACTTGGACTTCTTTACTACATTTACACTTCAGTGACCTGGGCCGGTCACTCACCTTTAACTTCTCTGAGCCTCAGTTTCCTCACCTGTAAAATGAGGAGCTGCACTAGCTGGTGTCCGAGGTTCCTTCTCACTTGATCTGTGATCTCGAGACCATTTTCAGAGAGCGTGCCTTGTGTTTCAGAGCAGAGACTCAGTTTATTTTTTTCACATCATTTGAACCCTAGGAATAATTAATTATATAGTACTTCCTATGTGCTAGGCACTGGGCTAAGCATTTTATAAATATTATCTCATTTGATCCTTAAAAACACACTGTGAGGTAAGTGCTATTATTATCCTTATTTTACAGTTGGAGAAGCAAAGGCTGACAGAGGTTAAGTGACTTGTCCAGGGTCACACGGCTAATAAGTGTCTGAGGCTGGATTTGAATTCACACCTGGCACTCCATTCACTGTGCCAACAACAGGAGACATATACTTCCACTGAAAGAATCCATGATGTCTTTTGGCTTGGGTACACTCTCCCACTGGTCCAGGTCCAAACCTCTCTATATGCTAGTGGTCAGAGAGGCTGCGGCCAAAAGAAGTCATCACCCGGTGGCCATTTCTAGTGATGAGCCTTCTGAACTTCGCCAGGCAGGGATTTGGTGATGCTCACTAGGCCAACGTCCTAAAGGTCTGCCCAAGCCCATGTTCCAATGGCCAAGTCCTGAAGGGCCCAGGGTCACCTCCGTGCTATGAGGAGACATCCACTCAGGTCCTCTCTAGGACTTCATTGGGCTGTGCAGAGGGCCTCAGGATCTCAGAGTCCACCTTCATGATGGAAAGTTCTGCTGGGCCCTATTAAATTGGAAGGGATCCATGTACGGGCCTGGGGATGGACTGTGTGAGTGTGTGGGGGGGGTCACGCAAAGGCAGGCAGGAAAAAAGAGACCAACTTTGTCCTTGGGTCCCAGGAATCCTGGGAGGAGAAGGGCAAAGCAGCCCTAGGAAGCCTTTCATCTTCTTTGAGATGATGGAGGAGCCATTGCCCGGCCCTCCGGTGCAGCACTGGGAGCAGTATGGTCCCATGCGGCTCCTTCTCTTGGGTGGCCGCCCTTACTGGTGTTATCGACCAAAGGGCTTTCTAAATTAACCTAGTGACTTCAATAGCTATTCCGTAAGCCAACTCAGAAGGACACCGGAGGTCTTTAATTATTCTGGGGCCCATAGTAGGGTCTCAACAGGTTAATGGAATAAGATTCAAGTATAGATGCCTCCCAAAGTGGAGAAAGCTCCTTCCCTGTTGCATGGCTCACTCAGCCAGCAAATGCCCCCTCTCTGAACAGGAACAGAAGGAGATTCTCCCATGAGGGTTAAGGGGAATCTAGTCTTCTTGTGATGCCAGAGGAAGACTGCAGAGGATCCTGGAGACTTTATATCAGCCAAGCTAATGAGCTACTTCAGCTGAGAGGTGGGGTGGTGGCCTGGTGGACTGGCGGGGAGAGCATCGACTCTGGAGCCAAAGACCCGGGGTTCAAAACTTGCCTCTGATGGTTTCCACTTTTATGACCGTGGTGAGTTAGTTATTTCACCTCACTTTCCTCAACTATAAGATGAAGGAATTGGACAAGTCAGGGATTCTTAACCTGCGGTCTCTGAACTTGTTTTACTTTTTAATTGTGTGGTTTTTTGTTTTTTGTTTTTTTTGGCAACTATTATTTCAATATAATTGGTTTCCTTTGTAATCATTTGTATTTTATCCATTCAAATATATGACTCTGAGAAGGGCTTTACCAGACTGCCCAGGTCCACGCCTCCAAAAAGGCGAAGAATCCACGTACTAGCCACTCCGGCCCAGAAGAGAGAAGGCTTAACCTGGAGTCAGAGGTTCTGGGATCTACCATTCACTAAGGGAGTGGGACAAACCGATCTGCTTCTCTGGGCCTCAGTTGCTGACTAATAATAATAATAACAATAATAATAATGATGATAGCTAGCATTTATATAGTGCCTACCACATTCCAGCCACGGTGCTAAGCACTTCACAAATATCATCTCACCTGATCCTCGTAATAACCCTGGGAGGTAAGTGCTGTTATTATCTCTATTTTACATTTGAGGAAACTGAGGCAAACAGTGGCTAAGTCCACAGTCTCTCAGCTAGCAAGTGTCTGATTTGAACTCAGGTCTTCTTGACCCCTGCCCAGTGCTCTGTGCACTGTGGTGCCACCGAGTGGAAAGAAATACACTGATCTTTCTTCATTCTGTCCTTGTGTTTCACTGTATAAACCTGCTGCATCCCTCAGCAACACAAGGGGTCTTCTGCCAGAGGAATTCCATTCAATTCAATAAGCATTAATGAAGTGCTTACTATGTGGCAGGCAGTGTGTTGCTAGGCATGGAGAGCCCAAGACGAACCATGAAACGGTCTTTGTCCTCAAAGAGCTTCCATTCTACTGGAGGGTGTCATTTTAACAGACAAGGATTTTTACAACCACGATTTGAGGAGGGGGAGAGCTCCTGACAATGGGGGGCATCGATCTGATAAAATTTGTGGAGCATTTATCGAGCACTCAGTGTGTTCCACACACTTTAGGTGTCAGGGATACAGAGATTTTTAAAAAATGAAATAGTTCCTGCCCTCATGGAGCTTACATTCTACCATGGGAAAATCACAAGGACAGATAAATACATATAAAATATACAGAGAACAACTTCAGGGTAATTGGAGGGGAGGGGAAGAGTGCACTCACAGTTTGGGGGGTCTGAAAAGAACGCCTCAGATCCTTGGAAGAAGCAAGGGAGCCAGAGGCTGAGGGAGGGAGGGATTACCATCCTGGCATTCGAAACAGTGGTACCCAACATACAGTCTGGGCCAAGAACCTTCTTCTGCCTCCCACGAGAATTCTTAGATGCCTGAGAAAGGCAAAGATGCGGTGCTTCTAGGTTCCACATTTGGGCAGCTATGTGGTGCCATAGTGCACAGAGCGCTGGCACCTGGAGCCAGGAACACCTGAGTTCAAATCCAGCCTCAGACACTTACTAGCTGAGAGACCCTGGACTAGTCACTTAGCTGCCGTTTGCCTCAGTCTCCTCACCTGTAAAATGGGGGCTATCCCAGCACCTACTTCCTAGAGCTGTTGTGAGAATGGAATGACATAATAATTATGAAGTGCCTGGCACACAGTAAGCGCCATGTAAATGGTAGTTATTGCTACTAATATGAGGTCTCCAGTCTTCCCAAACCAAGCCTGTGGCTTAATAAGGATGCTGGCAGTGCCAAGCTCCTTGGAATTGGAGGAAGAAAACAGCAGGGCACTGCCACGTGGCTCCCCCGGTGTTCTGATACATCGGCCTCCCTCCTTCTGCTTTCTCATTAAAGTCTGCTCGGTCTATTAACTTTTTCTTTCTTATAAATTTAAAACTTCATCCCTTTCTGATCCTTCTCCAAAAAGCCTCTCCCCAGACCTTTTCGGCTTTAGTGGGTAGTGTGTCCCGGACGCCGCTGCCAGCCGCTGCCTCTGGAATGCTAATGAGCTGTCGAATAAAACAAACCGGTGGAAAGAATGAAGCAGGTCTTTTCGTGAGCATCCTGCAGCGGCTGCCTCTGCAGAGCAGAGACGTTCACAGTCTCCTTGAGCAGATGTTTGCTCAGCTTCCTGCCGGTCTATGTTTGCAGGCAGAGGGAAGGGGATGGGGAGGGGGAAAGAGTTTCAGAGCTGAAGCCCACCCTCAGGGTCACTTAGGTCAGCCCACCCAGTCCGATTATCTCATTTTAGAGATGAAAAGACTGAGGCCCAAACAAATCAAGGGTTCTGGGAGGAGCGCTTCTGGACCTGGGTTTTTTTCTGTTCCCCGCCCCTCCCAGGTACAGATGGCACTTAAAGTCTCAGGGATTTGTCGGCGTTCACCCAGAGAGAACATGTCAGAGGCAAGCCTCGAACCCAGGTCTGGGTAACTCTACCACCATGTGATGATGTCTTGCACATGGGGAATGCTTAATAATTTTTGTTGAATTGACTTGAACTTCGGGCAGCTTGGGGCAGTGGGAAGAATGTCGAATCTGTACTCAGAGGCTCTGAGTTTGAACCTGGGTTGGTGCTCCCAGGCAAGCCCCTTGACCCTGCTGGGCCTCTGTTTCCTCTCCTGTAAATTGAGGATGTTGGATGGGGTGACCTCCTAGCCTAGCCCCTTCTCGCTGAGTCTGTGATGCTCCTCTGTTCTCATTCAGGTCCTCCCCATTGGTATGAATCAGGGATTTATTACTACCAGGTGAAGCCGGGCTCTGCCTCAACGATCCTCAGAAC